GCAAAAGGGGGGGGGGGTTGTTGTGTTTGAGGGGGGTTAAAGTAGTCCCCAAATTAGTGCAATGACCATATTCCAAATATCAAAACTCAATGTCATTTCCATTCCTAAAATACATATTTTACAGTCACTGTTACGCAGTTTGGTCTTAAACACAGCTAAAAGGCTTCCTACCAGTGGTCATCATTCACAAGACTTAACATCTTCCACAGTTTATCATAGGTAGAATGCAAAATGTTTCAATACAAGCATTTCAGTCAAATGTAATTTATGCAATATTTCAAACCTTTAACCCACGGGAGAAAATCAACCCACCGCAACAGTTTAAAATCAGCCCAATTCCAAGCAAAAAATTTTCTGTGCAGATTTGGCAACCCTACATCCAACACAAGCTGCATCCAAAGTGATTTAAAGGGGTCATCGGATGCGACATGCACTTTTACAAGTTGTTTGAACTGAAATGTGTGTTGGCAGTGTGTGTACACAACCACCCTATAATGATAAAGGTCCACCCAGTGTTTTATTTTTGTTTTTTAAAATTTTTGTATAAATATCGTTAAATCATTTCCCCTTTCTCATATCAAGCCGTTCTCAGATGCCTGTCTGTGTGACATCACACAGACCAAGGCTGCCCCCATGATAGTTGATTGACACTGGTGGTTCAGTGTTGCCAGATTGGGCGGGTTCCCACCTAATTGGGCGGTTTTGAATTTGATTGTGCAGGGAAAAATCGGCTTGGGCGGGTGGACAAAATTTGGGCTGATTTGGGGTCAGTTTGGCAGTTTTCAAACATAAATTGTATAAACTAATTGGTTAACAAACAAGCTGATGCTGATGTCGACAGCCGCACTTGTGAATTACACGGAGGGAGATGACGCGAAGGCTCATAATATCAATACAACTCCGAAATCAGAGCACAGTTGAATTAAACAAAATCGAAACTAAATATCTGGGTCTATTGGATCCTGTCTTTTATCTTTTAAATGGTCCAGATTGGTAGGCTATATCCTTGAAAGATGCTGGGCTTCTTAGTTTGACTGCAAGTATTGATGTTCTACGGTATACTTCACGAAAGACTTCCTCTAGTTCTGTGTTAAGTTATAGTGCGACACGAAGGTAAGCTTGTTGTTCTTGTTGTTAATTTTTTTTAAAATTATTGTCGGTTATTGTACAGTATGAATCAATGAATGACACTGTTTTGACTGTCATGGTGTATACATGAAAGAGTGTGAAATACTTGCTAATTTCTAGGGCTGCCCTCGACTAAGGATTTTTCTGGTCGACTGGTAGTCATTCATTTTAAGCATTAGTTGACTAATCGCACGTTTATTAATAAACCATTTAAAGGGGTCATATGATGCGATTTCAAGTTTTCCTTTCTCTTTGTCTCAGGGTCAGGGTGACTCGTCATCTCCGCAGTAGTGATGCGCCTGTATTAGGGGTGTGAACCTACACTGGTCTCACGGTTCGGTTACGATTATCATGTCATCGATTCGGTTCAATTCGATATCTCACGTGCGTGATTCACTTTGCATGTCCAAATGTTCGATCCCCCAGATCTTACTTTACGAATAACTTTTAATTCTGACTTATTCAGTTACATTTTAGATACCCAGTCATACAAGTAATATGAAGAATACAAATTATTTCAGAAAAATTCAATATTTGTCATATGCAATTCATATGTGTACATTATTCTTCTATTACATCATATTGATATTCGTACTGGTATTAAATTGCACAGTTTAATGGGTAAATGAATTGATCAGAGACAGAAATTCAACAAACACACACACAGTTAGGCTTTTATTTGTGTAACTTGAATCGATCTGTGGAATATGTGGTAGATGCCTCGTCCTACTAAGCGTCTTTCACAGACTTTTGGCTGCTATATTTTTTATTAACCACCAGATGGCGCTGTTTTCGAGACACTCGAAGCTTTGAATCTTTTCCCGAAACAGTCAGAGCTGTCAGTACCTCGGTGCTTCACGAGGCTTCATTTGCCCATCCCTACCCCCTACATATTTCATTGTGCGTGTCGTGACATGATTTACACACAGCGTGTGTCTTCTCCAGGTTGCGCTCAGGTTGTTCATAAAAGGCGAAATGTGGCCAGATGTTGGCTTTTAAAGTAGTTGGAGCATTTTCAATTACTCACACTCGAGTCTCGCCTCCCTCCTTCACAGACCGAGACGGCAGAAAGCACATCCTGTTGCTTTCATTATTTTACAAAAGCGTGTTTTGTTGTTATTGTGATTGCACACAAATAAACGTAGAGTCTTTACAGATTTGAAAGATGTATTACTCTTATCTGAATGACCAAAAATGAGGAGTATTTTAAGAGCAAGTGACCACTCCGGCGCCTCCATCTGTCCTGCAGTGAGCGCTACTGTTCAGTTTCCACACTCTGCACAGACACTGAATAGCGCACATTTCTCTAGGTTAACATTAGATTGAGCGGCCATGTAAAGTTGCTAATACTTACATATTTCAGATGATAAGCCATATTTGAGGTCGATGAATGATAGGCGAGCATTTGGTTGTCCTGTCTGATGTAGGCTACATTATTACCATATAGCCGTTAACGATCTGTCCGTCACAAACTGCGTGACTTCGCCTGTGGATTTAAAAAAAAAAATTATTTTTATTTTTCTGCGACAAAACGACTAATAAAATTTTGGTCGACCAAGCCTCTTCTGGTCGACTAATGATTAGTCGTGTCTGATGTAGGCTACATTATTACCATATAGCCGTTAACGATCTGTCCGTCACAAACTGCGTGACTTCGCCTGTGGATTTAAAAAAAAAAAATTATTTTTATTTTTCTGCGACAAAACGACTAATAAAATTTTGGTCGACCAAGCCTCTTCTGGTCGACTAATGATTAGTCGACTATTAGGGGGCAGCCCTACTAATTACGTTGCTTTTTTCGATCACTTATATTGGGCACTCTTTGCATTTAAATTGGCTTATTCTGACGGTTGACATTGAAAATGATGCATATGTTTTTTTTCGAGGGTATCGGTTAATTTCTTAATTGCCGTTTTGACAGTGTCTGCTTTAATCATATTTGGTAATTCTCTTTAATGTATTTGCCCTGATTTGATCTGTTTACCTGGTAAATTTATATACTGTTATATTTATATTATTTTGTCGTCATTATTTTGTTTTAAGGAGTTAAAAATGGCCCTTATCAACCTTGCAATATTCTATCACATTATTTTGACCTTTAAATTTTGGGACGTTTTTTTTGTTGGAGTGGGCGGGTTTTTGTGAGCTTTTGGGCTTGAAATCGTCCATCTAATCTGGCAACACTGCTTTCCTAATAATGTGCTAGTTAGCATATTGAGAGACGAATTCGGCTAAAGTTTACAGTCTCTCAGAGAACGGCTCGTCACCCCACGGAAGGGTTGAGCAGAGCTCATTAGCATTTAAAGGGGTCATATGATGCGATTTCAAGTTTTCCTTTCTCTTTGGAGTGTTACAAGCTCTTGGTGCATAAAGAAGATCTGTAAAGTTGCAAAGACTAAAGTCTCAAATCCAAAGAGATATTCTTTATAAAAGTTAAGAGTCAGCCACGCCTACCTAAAACGGCTCGTTCTAACACGCCCAAAAGACCTATTTTTGGCAAGGTAAAAAGGGTGTTGTTTTACACTACCATTGAGAAATTTGAACCAAAGTATGTTATAGACTTTTCATTAAGACCCTAAACAATCATGTCAACTTGTGGAAAATGGGCATCCGATTAAGTCCGCATATTGATAGCGCATATTGATGTGACGTTGAGATTACACCGCTGAATGTAGCGAACCCCGGTTGAATACATGAGTGCTTATTTCATTTAGCCTGTTTTCATGTCTGTTACTATCGGCATGTCCTCCGAGCGATTACATGCTCTAGACTACGTTGTTTAAGCTGTATAAACAGATGCGTAAAAGCTGCTGCTAATATGCTTAATATTTCACTTCTTACATATTGTGCCTTTAAGTACCTAAATCTTTAAACCTAAATTTTATAAAATTATAATAGTTTGTTATATGCATAAGTCTTGCATATAGTGGAGGACTACAAATCATTTGTATGTTGTGATGGACATCATTGATCCCAGGGTTTTAGTGTCATGCTATCCTTATGCGTTGTTTGTTGCCTTGGATTTAAAGTACTGCAATGTCTGCAATTTAGACAAATAAGAGAAAACTTTTTGTTTTTCTTTCAAGGTCTGGCCTGAAGTTACTGATCCAGAGAAGTTTGTGTTTGAAGATGTTGCCATTGCTACATATTTGTTGGTTGGTTGAACTATTGATTGATTATTATGCATATTATTTGTTTTTAGAAATCAAATTATTATAGTTTCACCCTCAATATTTACTGAATATCTTTAATATTCAGTAAATTAAAAAATATATTGAAATTAAATATATTTATTAATTTATATTAATTTAATATAAAATTAAATATATATTGTGCATGTTAAACAAATGGACTCATAAACATCTTATTGAATCTTATTACTGAATTCTTATTGACTCAGAGCATATCAGAGAAAAAAAACATTGTCTCTCTATCTCCTGTGCAGATTTTATGGGGTGAAGAGCGTGCTGAAAAGGGAACAACAACCAAACAGTCCTTTGTGGATCTTGGCTGTGGAAATGGCCTCCTAGTTCACATATTAAACAATGAAGGGGTAGGTTAACTAATACATTTGCTGCAGTGTTGAATTGCCAAACCATGTACCATGTTTCATGTCTGTAAATCACCCACACAGGTCCCTCTGTAGAGCTCTGTTAATATTCATCCAGTTTTAAAACCAATGATACAGTGAAGTCTGTGTAAAATAAAATACAATGAGAACCCATCACTATTCTGTAACATTTAATTAGACAAGAGATTAGAAATTTGACTGCTTCCCTCAGGGCTTAAAGGGAGTTATATACAGCCCGTGTCATGTACTCTGTTCTGTTTTGATTAAACGGACTAAGGCCTCAGTTAGTCATTTACTCCTGGGTTTCAGCATCCTGGAAAGGGCATGGACATTCGCAAAAGAAAGATCTGGGACATGTATGGGCCTGGTACTCATCTAGAGGTAAGATATTATTTACCTTTTATTTTATAAGATATATTACCTTTTATTGTTCTTTAATCATTGGTCAGTATGGAAAGTCAATAAAATTGTATATATTATAAATGTGCCATTTTAATATGTACTAGTAGGTAGACCTGGTGTACTCAACAGACGGCCTGCGGGCCGCATCTGGCCCGTCTGCATTAATTTTGTGGCCCGTGTCATGCTGAAGATTAACGTATTTTTATTACAATTTGCGCTCAATATATTAAGCAGTTTGATTTTTTTTTATTTAATGTATGCAATCACATTAGTAAAAGCTGCTCGTTCTCTGCAAGCGCTGTCACTAACGTGCAATTAAACAGCAACACGCCCCAAACAACTTAAAGAGAAGCATTGTCCAACAAAAGAGGACATTTAATAACTTGATTTTACTCCACAACATCAGTCGAGTGTTCGAAATAACTTGTGATCTGTTTAAATTGTGATCGTTTTGTGATCTGATGTGCGCTTTTTGTCATGGAACGAGGCAGAAAATACTGTAATAATGGCTATATCGATTAAAATTGGATTATAAATATACTTTATTATGAAAATACCAGAGATGAGAAGAGCACAGATAATCCATATACTGCAGCGTCGTGTGTTTACGGTCTTCATGTTTGATCAGTAGAGCCCGACCGATTTGGGTTTTTTGGGGCAGATGCCGATATTACGGACTAAAAAAAGACCGATATCGATATATCGGCCGATATTATGTGTAGGCTATATAACAGTACAGTATAGTCCAAGGTTTGTACACACTTCCCATTCGTGTGGCCAAACTTTTGACTGGTACTGTATATAGAATGCAGTATATACATAAACAGAATATACATACATTAACACATTTTTTGCAATGGTAACTCAAATGTGGTGATCAAACACTTGTGTCACTATGTGACCAATAGGCCTATGTAATGGAAGCAGGGTATTTAACAATTTAACAATAAACTTTATTATTCAAAATGAGTCTGACATCAGTGCACTTACCAGTAAACTTCACTTAATAAATAAATAATAATGAATAATATTTTTTCACATTCTGTGTTGTGTATATTCTGGTAATTAAATGAACATGCAGAACATGAGTATTCGTATTTAAAAGTTTTTTGCAGTTTAATATTCACAGACACTAGTGGTACGCTTGGTCTTTGCTCATATTAGGGTTCCCTTTCATAGGTTCACTTCAATGCTGCGATGGCGTCATCGCTATGGGAAATATCTCCGATGTGATGAATGTCTGAAGCCCTTTTACCATTACGCCAATTCATTGGCCAATAGCGCTTAGCACCGCCCCGAGCATATGTCACGTATGCTCATATATGCGTGCTGCGCGTTTCATCAGATTTCAATTCCTTTAGGAAGCGAATTTTCTGTTGCCCGTCGGAAAGAGATTCTTGGTGTTCTAAGCCATCTATTTTATAGAGCAGTTTACTCCTCTAAGGTGGACACAATCAGTTTTCCGATTAGGGCTGGGCGATATGACGATATTATCGTATATCGACGATGTCTCGTAAGTATCGCGATGTCGATGTCAACAGTCAGGTAACAGACGATTATCGACATTATCGGGAAAAAATGACAAAAGATAAACCTAGTAAGTTGCAAAAAAT